AACTTTATAAACTGCCATGAGAGACTAGGAAGTGAGATACCCCAGATATCCTTCTAAGATTTTGAAGCTAGGCCAATAAAAATCTCTGAGGCTAATTCCAGAATAATCAGTGAGACAAAACCAAGTCATTTAAGAAAAATGATGGGGTGAAGATATGGCTCAGAGGACAGGAGAGCTCACCTCATAAATATGAGACTGTAGATCAAATCCCCAGCACTGGTGTTGGGGGGTTAGGGGATGCAGCGACAGCACGATTGCTGGGGTTCCCTGGTCAGCCTAGATGTAAAGGATAAAGGATGAAGCTGTGGGGAAGAAACTAATAGAATATGGCACCCGAGGTTCAACTCTGAACTCTACATGGGCATTCATGTCCGTGTGTATCTGTGTGTGTGTGTGTGTGTGTGTGTGAGAGAGAGAGAGAGAGAGAGAGAGAGAGAGAGAGAGAGAGGAAAGAGGAGTCTAAACAGTTATGAAGTCCCTAAGAATGTTAAGATGTGGCTACGTCAGTCCCATATTGATAACCTTTGCACTCAAGAGCTGACACAGCAGGATAAGAAGCACAAGACCAGCCTTAGCTATATAGTGTGAGGCCAGGCTGTGTGGTAGGAGACCCTGTCTCAAAAAACAAGCATCAGGCTGGGTGGTGGTGGCGCACACCTTTAATCCCAGCACTCAGAAGGCAGAAGCAGGCTGATCTGTGAGTTTAAGGCCAGCATGGTCTACAGAGCGAGTTCCAGGGCAGGCACCAAAGCTACAAAAGGAAACCCTGTCTTGAAAAACAAAACCAACCAAACAAACTCAAAAGGACTTGGCTATGTCAAGGACATGTCAAATGTCAGACCAAACAACTTCAGCTTGACATCTCCCTTTTCCTTACACAACAACCTTTTGTACAGGACAAGAAAATCAGCAGGTACCTTCCTCACATCCTCATTCCAGCAAGTTTTATCAGCATCAATTGAAACAGTTCTCCTAATGGTTGTCATCGTTCTCTGTTCATGTACATAATCAGTCCTTTCATTAGCGGGGACTCGGTCATGTCATATTTGAGTTCCCAATGTACGCCAAGAGGTAAGAAAGGGGAAGAGATTTCCACAAGGCTAGACAATGGAAGCGTTCTAAACATGACACAGCTTGAGCACGAGAGTATCCGGATTGTTCCAGTCAAAGCCTGTACCATCCTCCAAAATAAACAATGTCTGTTACTCTGTCCAGACACTGAGCATAAGAAGCCTAAATACATTATCCATTGCTCCAACCCGCGGAAGGAGGATGCTTTTATTACCAGCCAGTAACTGTAATTCCAGAACAAATATCTTTGTGCAATACTTAAGTACACATTCAAAGTCTATTCTCTAACCAAACAAATGTAGTTTGACCTGTGAGGAAATAGTGCCACCCCACAGGTAAAATAGTAGACTTAGTCTTGAAACCAGGTCCGCCTTGACTTCTGCACAGGCTTTCTTCACTGTCTTCAACGTGTCTTTCTTCACTTTCTCCAATCCCCATCCCATGGCTAATTTCTAACCAGAACCATGTCCCACAGTGTACCATTCAGAATCACAAGGTGATTTGGAATTCACACTGCAGTGAAATGTTTCCCAAGGACAGGTGAGGACTACTGAGCTATGAGTCAGAATAGAACCAAAATACAAAGTCATAAAACTGATTTTTCTTTCTTCTGGATGTTGCTCATCAATCCATCATAACATGACTTTTTTCCTTTCGATTCAGAGTCAAAGAACATCAAAATTACCGTCCAGGTCCTGGAATCAGATGGCCTCAATATGAATGCTGTGACTGTAGCTGTTGTTACTTAAAGGATGCCTAGTACAAGATGGCAAACAATTCCCTCTCCCACGTCGCGACCTTTCCTTACTTTGTTGGAACAAAAGAAATAATCCTTTTTTGGAGTATAAACTCTCCTCAATAGTGGCCGTTGAAACTTTCTTGCCAGCATTATGGCCACTACACAGTTAATGGCACGAGATGAATAGCAAGAATTTTACCGATTTGATGAATACTGCATGGTGATCGAAAACATATCCATGTCCCAAATATGTAAATGAGAGTTTACAGATAGAAGAAAACTATTTTTATTATATCAAGACTTGAATGAATAAACTGTTAAATGGACCAAGAATGAAATACCATATGGAAAAGACTGGGAACACAGGAATGAGCAAGACAGAAACTCTGATCTTTGAAAAAATCAGAATATTTATATTTTACCAAATGTGTGTTTTCATAAAATATTTATTTAATACCCAATATTTTGCAGGTACTTTGCTAGTTGCTAAACCAAAACAAGTATATTTATTCCCTAAAAGTTAAAAAATCTTTTCTAGCAGTCTTAGAAGGGGATATAGATTTCATTTTTTAAATTGCTATGTATGTGAGGTTTTCTTTTTCTTTCTTTTTTTTGTTTCTGTTTGTTTGGTTTTTTTTTTTGCCTGCATGCATGTCTGTACACCACATTCATGCCTGAGGCATGTAAGCCCCAGAAGAAGGCTTCAGAGTCACTAGAGCTGGAGTTACTGAGAATTATGAGAAGCAATGTGGCTTCTGAGAACTTAATCTGGGTCCTTTGGAAGAGCAGCAAGTACTCTTAAATTCTTCAATTCATCTCTCCAGCCAATAGAATTAAAATTATTTTAAGTGCTATGAGGAATGTCATTAAATATATAACTGGAGTGTTGAACGTAAATGGAGGGTGGCATAAGGAAGACTTGTGAGAAAATATTTAACACATCTTAAAGTTTGAATGAAGGAGTTATATTTGACTATTCTGATCAAGGAAAAACAAGGAAATGACCAACATGGCTGAGGGATTAAGAAGGATGCCACCTAGAGATAAAGCAAGAGAAGTAGAAAGAAGTCTACATCCATCCCAGGGATCTCAAAGAATGAACGACTGGAGAGAATTATGGCCATAGCTGCATTCCGTAGAGACTGTTGCATGCGCAGAGCTCCGGAGAAACATGACACTGGAAAGGCACCTGGTGGAACTGGTGCAAGTGGATGATATAGTGTCATTTAAGGTGCAATAGTAAACATGACCAGAAGTGTGCATAGATTTGGGGCATGAGAAGGAGAGACAGAGAGAGAGAGAGAGAGAGAGAGAGAGAGAGAGAGAGAGAGAGACAGAGAGAGAGAGAGACAGAGAGAGAGAGGGAATGGTGAGATAAAATTGCAGATGTTGATAATAGGTAAAGAATCATCAAGATTAATAGTAAGGTTTTGATTAGAGCAATTACTTTGAAATAAAAAGAAACAGGAATGAGAATGAAGAAAAATATTTAAGGATGCTAAGTGATTAAAATGTAGCACAGGGCATGCCACCTTTAAGATGTCTATAGGATGTCCTGAGGGAGACATCAAACTTCATATCCCCCAATTTTCTCATTCATGGAAACTCATGCCTTCACAATGTCCTGCATGCCCCTTCATGACGCGGGCCCTTACTGTTTCCTTCACATCCCACCCCACTGTCCTCTCTCACTTCCCACAAAGTGAACTGTCATGCTCAGAACCTAGCCCTGACTATTCTCTCTGCCTGGGATGGATACTCATATATTTGCCCATAGTTAACGCTTCGCTTCCTACTGTTTGGTTGCCACCTATCCATCAATGCCTGTTCTCACCACTTTCTCATAAATAGCCTTACCTTTCATGAACGTCTCTCTAATCTTTTCCATATATTTGTCATAATCTGATATTTATAACCTTTTATTATTGCCTATTTTATATCTCCCTCAGTTAAAACATATGGAAGCTCCATGAAACATAGAGTTCCACATCTTTTTTATCCACTGATATATCTCAAAAGACTGGTAGTGTTTAATGGTTCTGAAGACTTGGAGAACGTTTAGCATCTGAACGGTTACGCTACTGGTTAACTGAAACATTAGTCAGTCACCATTTGGGGATGTTGACATAAGTCAGGTACCAAGGTCAGGCAAATGACTTAATTATTTTGTAACAATAACTAAAGTATAAATATTTGTATTAAACTCTAATTTCCTAAAGATGATGTAAGCAGAACCATATGACATCAATGCAGAAAGTGTCCAGGGCTGTGAGAAAAGAACACCAAACTTTTTAAGTCCAGCTCATTTTAAGAGGGCAGTAACCCCACATTAGTGCTGCTCTAAAATATGTTCTTTATTATTCTAGACAGAAGAAAACTTACCCTTTGTGGCAAAGGGAGACATTACTTCATTTGTCAAGACTGCCTTGCTGTACAAACACCCTGGAAAAGATAGTCTGAAACAAAGTGATGAGTATCTCTCCTCACGAGACAGGCAGAAACAGGGAAGAAAATAGAAAAATAACACCCTAAATGGCAGACGCTCAGTACATAGCAGCGAATGCAGGATCGATCCTGTGGGTTAGTTATTACTGTGATATCAATTTTCAAATGCGTAAATCGAAGCAATCAGAAAGTGAACCAATTATCTAAATGCCTGAAACTATTCTAGTAAGCACTCCTAGCCCCAGAACAGGGAACTGGGACATAGAACAGAGACAGAGATCAAGAGAGAGACAGAGACAGAGGTAGAGACAGAGACGGAGAGACAGAAGTGGAGATAGAGAGACAGGGGACTGAGCCTTCTTTATCTTTTACCCCACCCTGCCAGCAGTCTATCAAGTCTTAATGGATGTACAGTGACGGAGAAATGGGGAAAACAAAACACAGGAATGGAAGAATGGAAGAAAGGAAAGAAAGGAAAGTGTCTTTGAGCCTATCCATTCAGAGGAGACAGGACCTTTGATTTCACCTACAGATAAGAAAACCAGGGCTTGGGAAAGGGGAGAGGATTTCTCAAAACCCAAGAGGATGTCAGGAATCAAGCTAACTAGCTTTTCCTGGCAGAATTTTAGGTCTAGCCTTTCATGCCCCGTTTCTGACTCAGATAACATTTCCCCAGCTTAGAGGCCTCACATAGTCAATCAATAACCAAGGATAACAGCAGAGTGGGTGGGGCCTGTGTTACCATCTGTCTATAAGACCATTCCTCGGTTTCTGAAGAAAAGCACAGCGCAGATTTCTCCGGACCTTTGCACCTGCATCTGCAACCATGAAGGCGGCAAGTATCTTTCTTAGTGCCTTGGTCCTACTCACTTTAGCAGGTAGGTGTGTTTGCGTATTCTTCCAAAATTAGTAAAGAGTTTTCATCTGTGGCTTTAATGAGTATATCTCCTGGAAATGTAGGTAGTCTGGTGTTAGCTCACTAGTGTCAATGAGTTGAAATAAAATCAATGGAGTCAATACAAAAAAGAAGCATTTCTAGTGTGAATTACAGAAAGAAACAATTTCTAGAATAAAGGAGAAGAGGATCTCTGGGAAGATGTGCCCAGAGAAAGTCATAGCCTGATCTAAAGACAAAGCTGCTACTTTGTTAGAGATGTGGCAGAGAAGGGATTTCCCTCTAAAATATTCTTCTAACTTTATAAGTGACTAATAAACTATGGAAGGCCAATTTACAAAATTGAAATTCTTATGAACTTGCATAAAATGGAAAACAATGGCTGCCAGTTACTTTTCATAAAAGTCATATTTTGAGTGATTAAAAATTTTATGCTTGATCTGTAGGCTGTTCAGAAAGAAAATATATATCCTGCTTGAACAGATAAAGGAATCCTCATACTCACCATGAGAATGTTGGGAAATGATCCTGGTTGAGATGGGTTTGGGTTTTATAACTGGCATTGCTGAATACTTTCACCTTACTGCTGATCAGGCACAGCTTTCAACTAGAACCACATCTGTGTTTAGCTAAGAAAGGGAAGACCACTGCTTACTGTTTTAGATAAATATTTATGGAAGAAAAGAGTCCTTTGTTGCACCTCAAGCCTAATAATTAATACAACTAGAGGCCTGTAATGAGCCCCTGCTCATCAATGTTTAGGCTTATTTACATTCTGGATCTAAAGGGACTCCAGCAGCCTCATCTTCTCTGATGAATCCCAGAGATCTTTTTCATTCCCTTAGAGATCATTGACTGAAAATTAAGTTTTGGGAACATTTCTCCTTTGGGGGCTGTCAGATTAGATTCCTTTCTTTGAAATACTACTCTACATTCACATCTGCTTTTTAAAAAATAACTTTTTGAGAATATAATTATATCATCCCCTCTTCCCTTTCCTACTTCCAAACCATCCTGTATGCCTCTTCACCCTCTTCCCAATTTAGTTTGCTTTCATTATTGTTACATATATGTATATGTATCATATGCCTTGATGTCAGAAGGACTTGTCTTCTGAAGAATGGAGTCTTTTCTGCACGATGTGAATACATAGAAGACAATTTGGACCTCGAGTCAGTCAGTGTAAGGCACCTGTGGGAAAAAGCTCTTTGAGAACTAATGCTGAGCTGGCAGAAGAGCCCCATTTCCAACACTATTTACAAAAGGAATTTAATTACAACCCAAGTCCTGATGCCTATTTCCCATCCTGCCATCCATGCCCAGAGGTGCGGATATTTATAACTCACTGACTGAGATGAAGGCTCTAGTGGACATAGAGAGAACACTGATGGGCGTCCAGAGTGTGTCGGAATGATTAGCGCAAAAACACTTCAAACTCCGAGTACAGAATTTCTATTCTCAAGCAAGTGGATCAAATTTTCTTAAATGCTCCTTAACAGTCAAAATTTTACTTAATTCTTTGCAAGATCTTAGCAGGCAGAGAGTGGGGAAAATCCATCCAGTGTCCTTGAAAGTCTGTGGAAATAAAGAGATGGGCAGTGAATGGTGGAAGCAGAGAAGTCACTATGAAAATTGTATTCTTTGGTAAATAAGAATAGAATAGCTCTGACTTTTTTTATCTGGGATCCAAGTTGACATGTTTGTATTTTCTAGGTAACACTACAGCTAACTTAGTGGGAAAACAGGTAAAGAGAATTTTATAATTTCTTATAATTTATAGTTTCTTAATTCTCTAATTTCCTATACAAGCTGTTAGAGTGGTGAAGGAAAGGTCTTCAAGTATTGATCCATTAAGAATGAATGTCAGCAAAACAGAGCTGGTGGTCGACGTCCTGAAAAGAGGAGGTGATGATGTAGCACCCAGGAGCTGGAATCCAGGGTCCAGGAATCACCAGATGATGTGACTTTAATTTGATTCATCACTCTGTGTCTCTTCCCTTGAGGGAGAGTGAATAACAACTTTACAAGGCAGTTATGGGGTAGATCAATGAATGGATAATTGATGGTTTCGATTGAGGGGTGGGACTTTCCCAATAGAATAATGCATTTACAGAAGGGCAGTGTGCTATGAAAATAGTCTCATGATAATCAGCAAGGAAGGCTATCCTGTTAGCAGCTGGCCATAAAAAAGTCAGCACACCAGGAACTGGGAGCTTGAGTGTTATCTTCCTTCTCATAGCCAACCTCCCCAAAGCACCATGACCCAAGTTGGGAACTGACATTATTTGTTGATGAAATGACTGAGATCAAGGGAAGAGTTAATGGACTCGTGATGTCATATAAAGAGGAAATGAGTTTAAGTCAGATTTTCCAATTCCAGGGCAGATTTCTTTCATTGTTGTTATTATTGTTTTCTTGTAAAACATTCAGCATCATGATCCTAATTGAAAAAAGTCAATTTTTAGAAAATATAATATTTTATTATGAGATCAAACATTGAGAAATGATAGAAAATGACTGTTTTTAATCCTGTTTAGGCCAATTGCAATGGTGCAACTATGGGATGTCCCAGGAATTATGACCCTGTGTGTGGGGCGGATGGAATTACTTACTCCAATGAATGCAGTCTGTGCTTTGAAAACAGGTGAGGATAAAATCTAGTTTATAAGTATTTATCTTAACTTTCTTACCATTAGAATTTTACAAATGTTATTATCCTCTTAAAGCCTAGGTCAATAAATAAATCTTTCTTTTCATAAACTTGGTATAATATACTTTAAAAATTGATAGAACGATAAAAGCTTTAATATTCTTAGCAATACAGCTAATAGTCTAGATTTTCAAAATGCCTAAACATGCAAAATATCTTTGATCTGAAAAAATAATTCTCGACGATAGTTAAAATAGTTAAATTGCATTTTAACTATGCTTCCCCAAAATTAGCAAATGTAAATTACATAGGTTTTAGTGAACTGAAATGTATTTTATAACATTTATATTCATGGGAATGAGATCTAGCCTCGATGTAGTTTAATTTTATGATGGAATTAAGGTTGGGGAACAGGAATCAGAGTTGACACACTGGGACAAACAAATGTGTCACAGTTTGTTTTCTTATGCTATGACCGAGCAGTTAGAACCATGTGCCAGTCATTATGCTAGACCCTCCCTCTTTCCCATGCACTTGTGACAGAAACAAACAAAACACACAATAGCAAGCTCACTTCATAAGCACATGCGACAACTTCTCAGCTGTGGCAATCGACAGCAAGTAGTGTATAAAGTGTCACGTGACCGAAACAAAGACGGGATGTTTTCTGACTGAAAGGTCCAAGAAAGGTTTACTGAAGTGGATGCTGTTTAAATGATGCTCTGAGTTCCAACCAAACAGTCGGGACCCCAAAGGTGACAGGAAACACTTAGATATTCTAGAACTGACTCCGTGTTAAAGACTTCAGCTCCGGCTCACGTGGCTCTAAACTGTCATCTTTCCTCTGCATGGATCTCTTCTCTATAATGTGAATTCTCTTCTGGGATGGCTCTAAATGATTTCAGAAAAGTCTCCAAGTTTGTCTAGGAGTGTAAACATTTTAGACCCCGAACACACTATGCGTTCAGCTTTATGGTGAGTGCTTCCAGTGTGTAAAAATGCCCGAAATGACAGCACATGCCTGCCACCCCCACACTGCAGGCCAGGGCAGAAGAAACCTGAGTTTTTAAGCCAGTCTGCTCTTTCGTCTCTCACCCTGGGCTACAGGTTGAGGCCCCGGCTCAGATGTTTAGGGAGGAACAGGAGGAACCACTTGTTAATTTTCTCATGAACTATGTTGTTGACACTAAGGTCAAGCATCATTATTTCCATCCACGCAGAGGAGGAAAACTTCACAGCACCCTTGAGACTTGTGAAATCTCCAAGTGTAAGCTCTGAAATCTAAAGGCCTCTATTTAGAGTGAAGCATTCAGGAAATACGAGCGAAATGCTGAACATGCTCTCCTTTGACCTTTAAATCTACTGATTGCAATTTGCTCTTTGTATTCTTTCAATTACGTGTAAATGCAAGAGGCACAGCCAGCTCCCCGAAAGCACAATGTTTCACCCTGTGTTCAGACATAGCACTTAGGTCTCGAGACAGGCTTCTCTTTCTCAAATGTAAACAATGTTCTAAGGTTTCTGTAGCGCCTTTGCTTTGATTGCCCATTAAAAGTCACACATATAAACAACAAAAATGGGCTCAGCTGGATATATCTATCTATTTGTATACATACACACACACATACGCACGCACACACAAGCAATAATAATCAAAGAAAAAGAGGCTATCAATTTAAAAGTGAATGGGTAATGAGGGGTTTGGACAGAGGGGGCTTGGGAGGAGTTAGAGAAAGAAAAGGGAGAAAAAAGTGATGCAATTATATTTTAACTAAAAATGGATTTTTTTTGAAGTTGTCCAAAAATGACCTGTGTGGTAACTCAGACGCTGACTCTAAATATTGGGATTTGAGATGCTCAGAAAACAGCAGACAGGCCTTTCCTATGATAGGTCCATGTGTCTGCCTGCCAGGTATGTTAAGTCAGGACATTATATGTCTCCTATGTTTTCTCAGCTGACAATTCTTTCCTATAGGAAAGCAATGATGACAGAACTTTCTGTGGTGCTAGAAATGTCTTCTGTTTGTGCTGGCCAATCCATAGCCACTGGCCACCTGTGCTGGCCCTTGGCTCTGAAGGACCAACAGTATATTGAGAATCTGAAGATTTTATACTGTTAATCTTTTAAGTGTTAATAATCTTATATGGCTAATAGCAGAACAAGCCTCAGTGAACAGCACAGCTGTAAATGACAGGCTTATGGAAGTGACTTTGAAACTGGCACCATCCTAAGTTAATGTTAAAGGCAAAGTGAAGAAACGATGGGTCCAGAAAATGTCCATGTGAAAATGAAGAGGACCATATCTTCTCCAACAAAAGAGAAATAAAAAAAAGTGTGTGGCGTGCCAGCGTGGTCAAGAAAGCAACGGCTAGAGAGACAACTCTGGAAGCAATCTTGTAACTAAGGGACAAGGTTGTAACTAACAGGACCGAGGAGCATTTAGATTTGGTGAGAGGAACTGGCTTCATAAAGGTAACACAGGAAGGGTAGAAAAGATACTATCTAAAGAGGAAGACCTTCTTATTGGCTGCTCTCATGAGACTCAAGATGGTCTGACAGATTCAAGCCCCCCATCATCTAAGATGAAATGTTGAACAATTAGAAGGACCTGCTGTAGCCTGGGTACCAGCTAAGATTTCCGTATGATCACTTAGTTTTCAGCATCAGCAGTAAAAGAAGCAGGGCTGAATTTGAGATTAATTTCAAGGGTTCCCAGTGCCTCCCCATAGGTCCCTAAACAGCAGTGATAGGCACTTTTCTATTCTGTTGTAGCCCTTGTGAATATAATAGCAAGCAGCAAATATTCAATGAATAAGTAAGTGAGTAAATGAATTGGGGAAAGAGAAAACTGGGAATACATCATACGCCTCTCTTATTAAAAAGTGATTTTTTTTTGAAGTTTCATTACCGTTCTCCCATAGTCACTTATTTGTGCCAATAAATGCAAACTGACCATATCCTATTTTCTTCCATTCTTCTACAGGGCACGCCAGGTTCCTGTCCTCATTAAAAAATATGGACCTTGCTGAAAGTCAAGATCTTGAACTCTGCTAAGACTACCATGATGCTTGACTAGCCTGTCTATTGAATAAACACATCTGAATATACCTTGTCCCCGAAGCTTTCTTCTCAAAGAATGGGTGAAATACCTTGAGGACAGGGAACCTGGGAAAGGCCCAGACTAGACTAAGCTTCACAGGTTAGCTCATTGTGCCTGTATAACCAGACGTTACAGATAATGACAATACACAGTTGAGCCAAACAAGCGTGATGAACAGAGTTTGGGTCAGAATGAAGACAGTATCCCATGCCATGCCCAGGAAGTATTCTGATAAGCAGAAAGGGGGCTGGCTAACAAGCAAATGACTGTGAACGTTTTGTGTGACTCACATTGCTTCTTTGAGAGCCACTATAACTTTGCAGGGTTACTCTCGTCCTGTGAGGAAACTTAGGAAAAAGTAAAGTTGCCTGACTTAAAACCACAGCAGGGCTGCTCTTTCTAATCGGGGCTGATGCTAAGGTCAATGCTCCTGCCCTGAACCACAGTCACCTCACATGGATTGTGCCTTGACTTTCCTCAATAGGAATTCTAGATAATAACCCCTTATTTTAAGATCTGATGTGTCTATATTCGATAATAATAAATAAAATAGAAACAAGGAAGTATTCCCAAAGGGGATAATATTTACAACTACTTAACAAAAATAAAAAAAGAAATAGTTTGAGATTGTGAGTTCTAAAAAATGAGTCTAAGATGGAGAGGTAGTAGAGTTACCACAGTGGAGCCGTGTCTGGATCTGTAGCACACTGGGCAAAGGCTCAGCCACCGAGCTGGAAATGCCCAAGGTGAAGTTCTCTACAGGAGGGAATCCAACTTGTAGTTACCTATTTCTGGTGATAGGCGGACATTCCTACCTCGAAACTGAACTCTGGCCACTAGAGGGTGCTGTACTCTAGCTACTGACTCAGCTGGAGCAGCCTGACAGCTCTCACTAAATACCTTGCTAACTCAAGTTATGGATGCAAGATGGCTTCCAGCATCCTCGCTGTGATGCTAGAGGACATTTGAAGGGCATCAAACATTAAAGAAGTCTGTATGGGAAAATAAATTTAATCATTGAATGTTTTACGTTGCTATGTCTAGTTAGACCAGTCTGCAAGTTCACAAGGGATAAAAAATTGATTTGTGTGTTTTTAAATGTACATAATGATAAATTAATCTCAAATCATATATTATTGATGGCTCTGCCTCCTGGGCCCATCAGAAGGCATGTGGATTCTATGTCCACGTCTGGTGGTTACACTTCAAAAGGTTGATTCAGGACTACGAACTTTGATATGAATATAAAGTTTCAACCTATGAAGAGCATTTAAAATAAAGAAAATTGGATGAAAAGAAAAGCCCCTTAGAACTGGGAGGACCTTTTCAAACATTTCAAGGGTTAAGAATATTGACCAGCTCAGCTCTAAGCAAGAAACCTGTTTCACCTCCTCCAGAGTTCAGGGAACATTGAGGAAGAAGAAGTAGAAATAATGTAAGAGTCAGAGAAAGAGGATTTGTGTGAAATGCTATCTGTAGTTACCTACAGAAGACTCGTACAAAGTTACATCCGTCAACATTCAATTATGAATAAGGAAGGGGCTCATGAGGTCTGATCTCTCTCCGAGAAGCTATTAACAGCTAATGAATGTGAGAGGAAAGTCAACAACACTTATTAAGTTTGTTAGGTAAAAAAAATTAAGTATAATAGAGGTGTTTTGATATCTGTGTTTTAAAATATGACATTTATTAATTTTTTGAGAACATTGTGTGTATACGATGTGTTTTGATCATATTCACTCATCTCCAGCTCCTCCCTTCTAACTCCTTTTGAGTTCCCTATGCTACGTGTCTCTTTCCAACTTGCCCAGAGGCAAAAGGTAGTCAAAATAATATAAGTTAAAAAAAAATCCAGGTAGTGGTGGTGCACACCTTTAATCCCAGTATTCAGGAGGCAGAGACAGGCAGATCTCTGTGAGTTTGAGCCAGCCTGTTCTACAAGAGTTCCAAGGCTATTACATAGAGAAACCCTGTCTTGAACTCTCCCTCCTCCTTGAAAAACAGCTAGAAAGAAACAAGTCAAGCTAAGACTGGGCACTCATAACTAAGAATAAGCCTCCAGGTGTGATTTCTTTGGGAGTTGGGTGGTGGAACCCTTCAAAAAGCCAAAAGAAGAAAACATCACACAATAAATGATCTGTGCGGTACCTGTCAATAAGACCAGGATCTATCCCTGATGCATGAGCTAGCTTATTGGCTCTTTCCCTATGGTGGGATGCCATGTTCAACCTTAATGCAAGGGAGAAGGGCTTGGCCCAGCTCCAGCTTAATGTATCAGACTTTGTTGACTTCCCATGGGAGCCCTCACTCATTGGGAGGAGTTGATAGGGGGTAGGCTCAGGGGGCAGAAGCTTGGAGGGGGCAGGAAGAGTGAGGGGGGAGATCTGTGGTTGGAATGTAGAATGAAATTTAAAAAATAAATAAAAGTAAATAAATAAAAGAGATTTTATGTAGATTTAATCATAATGGTTAAAACGAAGCTCTAGGAAAAAAATAAGGTGCTCCTAAGAGCATGAATTTATACTTCTCACACTTCATTGTACAATCATCACACCGGGAACTTATTCTTTTTAAGTTGTTGTTATCAAAGAGTTGCTTAGGAATTAAAGTGAGGTCACAGGGAACTAACTTCCAGATGTACAACCAAAAGCAAGGCTACTCTCACTATAAGTAAAATTAATAGTCTAGTTTGTGAGTTTCCCAGAAAATATCCTGGGTAGGAATGTGGTTATACCTGAGGTCACATATGCTTTGGCCTTAACCCACCTGTCTGTTTTTATGCCAATATCAAGATGTTTTTATGATTATAGCTCTATAGTGGAGCTTGAAGTTAGGGATACTGATGCCTCCAAAGGTTCCTTTATTGTACAGGATTGTTTTAGTTTTTATGAGCGTTTTGTTTTTCCACATGAAGTTAGTCTTTTGAGGTCTGTGAAGAATTGTGTTGGTATTTTGATGAGAATTACATTGAATCTGTAGATTGCTTTTGGAAATACTGCAATTTTTACTATGTTAATCCTACCTATCCATGAGCAAGGAAGATCTTTCCACTTTCTGATATCTTCTCCAAATTATTTTTTCAAAGACTTAAAATCCTTGTCATACAGGTATTTCATTGATTTGTTTAGAATTACCCCAACATATTTCATATTGTTTGTGGCTTTTGTAAATGGTGTTGTTTCAATGATTTTTTTCTATTTCTTTTAAAAAATATTACATATTTTAAATTGATTTTTATCGAGCTCTACATTTTTCTCTGCTCCCCTCCCTGCCTCTTCCTTCCCATTCAACCCTCTCCCAAGGTCCCCATGCTCCCAATTTACTCAGGAGATCTTGTCTTTTTCTACTACCCATGTAGATTAGATCTATTTATGTCTCTCTTAGGGGCCTCATTGTTGTCTAGGTTCTCTGGGATTGTGATTTGTGGGCTGGTTTTCTTTGCTTTATGTTTAAAAACCACATATATTTGAGTACATGTGATAATTGTCTTTCTGGGTTACTTCACTCAAAATGATGTTGTCTAGCTCCACCCATTTTCTTACAAAATTCAAGATGTCATTTTTTCTGCTGTATAGTACTCCATTGTGTAAATGTTTCAATGATCTCTCAGCCTATTTATCACTTGTATATAAAAGGGCTACTAATTTTTTTGAGTTAATCTTCTATCTAGTCATATCATTTAAGGTGTTTTCAACTGCAAGAGTTTCATGGTAGATTTTTTTTGTGGTCACTATCATATCATCTACAAATAGTAAAAATTTGACTTCATCCTTTCCAAATTTTATCCCCTTGATATCCTTTTGCTGTCTTATTTCTCTAGCTAGAACTTTGAGTACTATGATGAATAGATATGGAGAAAGTGGACAGCCTTGTATTGCTCCTGATTTTAGTGGAATCACTTGAGTTCTTCTCCACTTAACTTGATGTTAGTTGTTGGCTTGCTGTATATTGCTTTTATTATGTTTTGGTACATTCTTTTATCCCTGATCTCTCCACGACCTTTATCATGAAGGGGTGTTGAATTTTTCAAAGGCTTTTTAAGGATATAATGCGATGATTGTGTGTGTGTCTGTGTGTGTGTGTGTGTGTGTGTGTTTTCCTTCGGTTTGTTTACATGATGGATTACATTGACAGATTTTCATATGTTGAGTCATTCATGCATCTCTGCTTTGTACTTTTTAAACAGCGTTGAGACTGTGATAGACTATGGGGGCTTTTGAAGTTGGAGGAAATGCATCTTGCATTATGATACGGCTACAAGCCTGTAGAGAGCAGGGATTTTGGAATGTAGAGGCTTGAATGAGAATGTCCCCATATGCCCCATAGATTTAAAATCCTATCAATATGAGTGGCGCTATTTGAAAAGATTGGGAGGTATAGCCTTGTGGAGGAGGTGGGACACTGCAGGTGGTCTTTGTAGTTTCAAAAGCCCAATCTAAACCAAGAGTCTTTCTCTTACTGCAGCCTGCAGACCTGAAGGTAGAAGTCTCAATGATGTCTTCAGCATCATCTCTGCCCCCATGCTGCCATGCTACCTGTCATGATGATAATGGACTAAACCTCTGAAACTATAAGCCAACCCCAACTCAGTATTATCTTTTATAAGTGGTACCATGGTCATGGTGTCTCTTTGCAGCAATAGAACACTGACCAAGACAACATAATATGAGAACACCTAGGAAGCATTCTGTGTGATTATTTGGAATTTGAATCAGAAAGTAAAACATCTTAATTTTGCTTTAAGGCTTCCTCAAATCAGAATCACAGACATTAAAACTCCCTCATCACTATCTGTACTGTTGTGGGATATTTGCTTGCACTGTGAAACTCCAAGACTGCTAATAAAGGTAAACCTTGAATCAATGGGTGGGGTGGGGTGGGAGGTCTTTCTGTCTATGTACTGCTTTCATTGGTTAACGAATAAAGAAACTGCCTTGGCCTGTTGATAGGGCAGAACTAAGGTAGATGGGGAAGGCAAAACTGAATGCTGGGAGAAGGAAAGAGTCA